ATGGGCCATGTAGGCCCAAGTTATCATGTGAAGTTCGTAATGGATACTTCAACCCATGTCAGAAAATTGTCTGTGCAGGTCCACGTCTTCGTATAGCAACCATATAACGGTACCCCCTATATTCTGTGTTTTGATGATTTTAGCTACATTATAAACAGATGTTTCGTCAAGTTTCGCATTTAAATATTGTAATAACTTATGACAAAAGTTGCCTATGCAGGTCCACGTCGTCGTATAGGCATTCGGTATTTTTAAGATTTTAACAGAATTTTTACCGAATTTTGTTTATTTTTTTTTTTTTTTTTTTTTTTGGAAATTGTCAAATTTGTACCTAATGGTGGACGGTATTAAAAGTTCGGCCCGGCCGAACTTACAGCTTTTTTACTTGTTTCATCTCACTCTATATATGGTGTGATGATGATAGTTCCCACACAAAGAAGTCAAAATTTTGAATAACAAAACGCCCATATAATGAGATGTAGCATGCGATTCTCTTAAAATTTCACACATCTTAATAGTCTTTAATGAGATCAGTATAAGCATAAGATCTGATGTGAAGATCGTATATATCGATCCATTCCTACTGGTAATATGCAAAATGAGCACCCTATTATTTCCAAACTTGGCACGTCCCAACACAGGTATCAATATAAAATGCGAAATAAGCATCCGAATCTCTTCAAATTTCACACAAGATCTGGTGTGTAGATGAGATTTATCGATCCACTTCTTCTGGTATCTCCCTCATAAGGAATCCAAATTTCTAATAACAAAACTCCTTTAAAATTCTAAAATTTCACACATCTTAATATTTCTACTAACACAAGATATGGTCTGAAGGCGATAGATATCGGCCTACCCCCACAAAGGATCGCAATTTTAAATATTTATACATCTCATAACTTGCGATACATATCAGCGATTCCATTCAAACCTGGTATATCAGAATATTGAATATAACTCCCCAAAAAATTAACATTTTGATTAACAATTATTCGCATTAAATTCGATTATCTGCACATTCCAATATTTTTATTAGTATTAGATGAAGTGGAAAACTTCGTCCCCTCAGGCACATTTCAATTTTTTTTATACCCTACACCACATAGTGGTAAGGGTATTATGTCTTTGTGCATTTGTTTGTAACATGGAGAAGGAAACGAGATAGACCCATAGTTACTTTTGAGAACCTTCATAGAATCACTTTCTGAGTCGATTTATGCATGTCAGTCCGTCTGTCCGTCCGTCCGTCTGTCCATGTATTCTTGTGAACAAAATGCAGATCGCATTTATTATCCGATTGAGATGAAATTTTCCAAACATAAGTTTTTTGGCCCAAGGACGAACCCTATTGAAATTGGTCAGAATCGGATCAAATTTAGATATAGCTCCCATATATATCTTCATCCGATTTCCGGTTAAATGTGCACCAAATGTCCACTATCAGTCCAAATTACGTGAATTTTGGCACACCCAACCGAGTTTGGCCTAGAAGCAAGTATATCAAATTTGGAGAAAATCGGTTCAGATATAGCTATAGCTCCCATATATATCTTTCATCCGATTTGATCTTTAAGTCCCTCACATTCCTACTATGCACTCCACAACCGTGATATTTTGTACCAGGTATTAGATGGAGCACAGAAATAGCTGTTTTAAATTTTATCGAAATCGGTTCAGATTTGGATATAGCTCCCATATATATCTTCATCCGATTTCGTGTTAATTGACCACCAAATGGCCAATATCAGCCCAAATGGCCCGAATTTTGGCACATGTGACCGAGATTAGCCTTAAAGCAAATACAACAAATTTGGAGAAAATCGGTTCAGAAACTGCTATAGCTCCCATATATATGTTTTATCCGATTTGGTGTTTAAGCCTCTCACATTCGTAATATGCACTCCACAAGACTGATATTTGGTACCAGATATAAGATACAGCCCTGAAATAGCTGTTTGTAATTTTAATGAAATCGGTTCAGATTTGGATATAGCTCCCATATATATCTTCATACGATTTCGGGTTAATTGTGCACCAAATGGCCGATATAAGTCCAAATGGACTGAATTTTAGTACATCGGACCAAATTCAGCCTAGAAGCAAGTATATCAAATTTAGTGAAAATCGGTTCAGATATAGATATAGCAACCATATATATGTTTCATCCGATTTAGTGTTTTAGTCCCTTACATTCGTAATATTCACTCCACAACTGTGATATTTGGTACCAGGTATTAGATGGAGCACAGGAATAGCTGTTTTAAATTTTATCGAAATCGGTTCAGATTTGCATATAGCTCCCATATATATCTTCATCCGATTTCGGGTGATTGACCACCAAATGGCCGTAATAGCATCAATTTTGGCAAATCCGACCGAAACCAGCTTAGAAGCAAGTACACCAATTTTAGTAAAATCGGTTCAGATATAGCTATAGCTCCCATATATATCTTTCATCCGATTTGGTCTTTGAGTCCCTCACATTCGTAATATGCACTCCACAGGAATGATATTTGGTACCAGATATCGGATAAAGCCCAAAAATAGTTGATTTTAATTTTATTAAAATCTGTTCCGATTTGGATATGCCTCCCATATATATCTTCATCCGATTTCGTGTTAATTGTGCATTAAATGGTCAATATCAGCCCAAATCACCTGAATTTTCGTACATATGACCGAATTCAGTCTAGAAGCTAATACGTCAAATTTGGAGAAACCCGGTTAAGAGATAGCTATAGTTCGTAAAATGCACGATAGAATTAGATAGATTTTGATTTTGTACCAAATATCTCATATAGCTCTGAAATGCCCTGTATAAACCTTTTTACGAGAGCTCTACTAAATATGCATAGTGGTGTAGGGTATCATATAGTCGGCCCCGCCCGACTTTTGAGCTTTCCTTACTGGTTTTAATTGTTACATATCAAGTGATATTAATCGATATGTCCAAATATGGCACGTTGTAATATTTATATCAGACTTATATCAGAGAGGTGTTGGACAATATTGGCTAACTCCTTCGTACCCTCCTCCATTAAGATTTCACATTTTGAATAAATATAACGTATGTCAAAAAGTTGAGAGTATATATCCGTCTCTAAAACCGAATAATATTTTTTAACCTCTGGGTCCACTATATCTGCTACCTCATTCACATTTCAAGATTGTCCAACAGCATCACATATCTCATATCAATATTAACAAGTTAAAAAGCAGTAAGTTCGACCGGACCGAACTTTGAATGCCCTCCACCATTTGGAAATAATTTGGAAAATTTCCAAAGATAAAACCCGTTAAAAATTCTTTTAAAATCATCAAAAAATATATATTGGGGCCTATACATGTGGACCCGTATAGGCTTTGTTTGTCATAAGCCATTACCATGTTCAAATTCGAAACTTGAAATAAATGGTGAATAATGTAGCTAAAATCATTAAAATACCGTATATAGGGAGGTACCGTTATATCGGAGCTATACGAAGTATTGTCTTTACGGACCTGCATAGACAATTACCTGTCACAGGCTGTAGCTTCCATTGCGAACTTCAAATACGACATTTCATTTCATTTTGTACCTAAAATCGTCAAAATACCGAATATAGGAAGGTACTATTACATGGGGGCTATATGAAGAAGTGGACCTGCACAGACAATTTTCTATCATAGGCTATATTATCCATTACGAACTTCAAATACCAAATTTCAAACTACTCCGGTGAGTAATATCGCTAAAATCATCAAAATACCGATTATAGGGAAGAATCTTTATATGGGGGCTATACGAAGACGTGGACCTGAACAGACAATTTTCTGTCTTAGGTTGTAGTATCCATTTCGAACTTCAAATACCAAATTTAAATCGATTCCGGTGAATAATATCGCTAAAATCATCAAAATACCGAATATCATCAAAATACCGTTATATGGGGGCTATATGAAAACGTTGACCTGCGCAGACAATTTTCTGTCTTAGGCTGTAGTATCCGATTCGAACTTCAAATACCAAATTTGGTGGACCTATATGGCTCATTTACGAACTTTTGCCTACTGGCAAAAAAAAAACATGTGTGCAAAATTGTAGCCTTCTACCTCAATTCGTTCGAAAGATAGCGTGCTTACAACAGACAGACGGACATCGCTAAATCGACTTAGAATTTTACGCTGATCAAGAATGTATATACTCTGTTGGGTCTGACATGAGTATTTCGAGGAGTTACAAACGGAATGACAAAGTTAATGTAGCCTCCATGGAGGGTGTAAAAATTAGTACTGTCCAAATCTGGTACGTTTTAACATTTATATCAGACTTAAAAATAATAAAATAATCCGGATAAAACGGAATATATTAAAAAACTTAATTAAAAATTAAAAAATTTGGATTCATTTCAACAGTTCGTGTTAGGTTTTTTTTAGAACCCAAAATGCACAATTTGTTTGTTTGACAATATTTTGTAATCAAAACTTCATACATTGTACTAAATTTTTAGACTTTAAAGGATATATAAATAAATATTATTCAAGGTTTTTATTTATTTTTTCTTTTTTTTTTTATTTATTTATTATCATTACTTTTTTTTGAAAAAACACAATAGATAAATTTTTACCTTTTGCACCAAAAAGTACTTTTTGTACATTTATCGTACACATTTCCCAAAACCACCAGATACCAACCAGAGACCTCAATATTACATTTGAGGATTCCAGCCCTATCCCTTTATCCAATACCAAATTTAGTTCCATGTAGTAATTTTCAAGCAAATATAGGACACATGTCCAAACCCACCTCCAAATCTCAAGCTCAGATATAAACAGGTATCTAAATATCAAATTTCAGAATTTTATCTCTATCCCTTCAACCAAGACCAAATGTAATACCATTTAGTACTTTTCGTACAATTGGTTGGTTTGGACTTGATTTTCTTAGCATGCAACAAAAGCAGAGTGAATATAATAAAAATTAATTTACACTGTTTTAATTCTTTCATTTGTTACAGGACAAGCAGTTGGAGGTATCAACGATTCGCGCATTCAAGATCTTACCGTTGAAAAGGGTACAATTCATACGAAACGCCATAGTGGCGAAGATCCAATAAAAACTGGGTAAGTATTTTGCTACAGCCAGAACGCAGACTAGTTGAAAACATTAAGTTCGGCCGTGTGAGCTTTTAATACCCCCCACCATTCGGAAGTAACTTTAAAAATTAAAAAAAAGAACTCCATCGAAAAATACCGCTCAAATGAAAACCTTTATATGGTGGCTATACAAAGACGTGGTGCTGGGTAAGTAATTTTTTGTCATGGGCAGAAGTAACAATTCCGAACTACAATTACGAAATTTGACGCAATTCCGGTGAATAAAGTCCCTAATATTATCAAAATATTGAATAAAGGGAGGTACCATTGTATGGGGGCCATACTAAGGCGTGGAGCTTCATAGAAAGTTTTCCGTCATAGGTTGTAGTACCCATTACGAACCTCAAATACAAAATTTGACACAGTTCTGGTGAGTAATGTCGCGATAATTCTGGAAATAACGAATATCTCAGGGTAGCGTTATATGTGTGCTATACTAAAACGTAGACATATATAGAAAATTCTCTTCCAGGGGGTAAAGTACTTAGAAGGAACTCCTTGTGTGGATTTTCATTCTGTTCCATTGAAAAATGTGACTAAAATCATCAAAATCTCAAATAAGGGGGTGGGGGGTTGTGCACCATTGTATAGGGGCTATACGATATTGTAGACTTATATAGAAAATTCTCTTTCAGGGGTAAAGTACCCACAGAGAACTTCTTGTGTAGAATTTCAGACAATGCCATTGAAAAATGTGACTAAAATCATCAAAATACCGAATGTCGGGAGGCCTGTCCGTCTGTTCTTATCACGCTAGAATTAAAACGGATTAAGATAGGAAGCTAAAATTTTGCACATTTTACATTTTGCCTGAGGCAGGTTAAGGCCAAAGATGGTCTGTATTGGTCCACGATATCGTATAGCCCCCCGATATTTTTTATCGGAATTGTTTCCAATTTCATATTTAAAGTTCGTAATGGGTAGTACAGCCTATGATAAAAAAATCCGTATGCAAAAAAATCCCATAAAACGATACCTACCCATATTCGGCATTTTGATGATTTTAACAACACTTGTCAATGGAATTGTCTGAAATTCTACACAAGGAGTTCCTTCTGAATACTTTACCTCTTGGAAGAGAATTGTCCATATAAGTCCACGATATTGAATAGCCCCCATGCAACGGTAGCCCCGATATTCTCTATTTTGATCTTTTTAGCTACTTTTTTATCGGAATGGTTTCAAATTTCGTATTCCTATTTAAGTTCCTATCTAAGGTACTACAGCCTATGATTGCGTATGTAGGACCATATCTTCGTATAGCCCTCATATAACGATACATCCCTATGTTCGGTATTTTAATGATTACAAAAAAGTTGTTCTCCTGAATTGTTTCAAATTTCGTATTTAAAGCTCGTTATTGGTACTACTGCCCATGAGAAAAAAATTATTTATGCAGGACTAGGTCTTCCTATAGCCCTTTAAAAAATTCGGCCCGGCCAAATTTAGCTCCTTTTTTACTTGTTTTTTCTTTAGTTTAGTTTTTGCTGGCTTTTAGTGGTCAAAAAGTACCACTTATTTCAAGTTATGTGCCCCTGTGAAAACAATGTCAATGTCGTTTCTTAAGGCCCTTATATATAATAGCATTCAAGAATAAGAAAAATTTGAAAATGCCATTTGTATTTAAAAAGTAATGTTGTGCGTAATCACGATCGCATCCCAATAATCTTTCTCCAAAAATAAATTCGGTTTCAACGTCAACAGGTTAATAACAAGAACATAAAATGATTATTAACCATTCTTTCGATTAATTAAAAATAATGAATAAATTGCTAATTTTACCCCTCATTTGTACGTTCTTTTTTCATTAATTATTTTCCCATCTTCTTTTTTTCTTTTATCATACATTCTTACATTTCACAATCATCAACGTCACATCACTGGCATTTAAAATTCTGCAGCACATGCAAATCGGATAGCGGCATAAGAGCATTTACACAGGCCACTAATAATCGACCACCACGCGGTGCCGACAAGATACGTGCAGCATCCGGCCCATCCATACTGCCACGACCCGAAGATATACTTATTAATGATCCAGAGGTAAAGGAGCAACCTCTTCTCTAATGGCGAACTTTATTAATAATTCAGCCATTGCCTCATTATGTTTCTTGCTGTTATTCATTTGTTTTTCTTTCGTTCTTACTTTTGCCTTTCCTTGAACAGTTGCGACAGGAAGAAAACGTGGAATTACGTTCATCGGAAGTATCTCACACAGCTCCGGTTGCAGCACCACACCCTTTACCCATGCCCGAATATGGTGGTTATTTTGCTCCGCTTACGGAATTTTTGCCTGATGTCAGTTTGCCAATAAGTGGATTCCACAGGTAAGATGGGATTTCATGCTATACCAACGAGTTATATATGTTCATATGTATGCATGGTTGTACATAGCTTTTTTCGAATTAGAGGGACGTATATTGCTCATGTTTTTGATTTACGTTTCACATGGAGCAGCATTCATTTGATACCGGATATAACGTTGATGTTTTATTCATTTCCATGACTGACTCGGTCCTAGCTCATTTTCTGTCGTAATTTTTGTTTACACATAAGACGCTTTCCCGGGTATTGAGTATTCAGCATTGTTTAAAGTTTCCTACAGTTTTTAGTCTTCGAATTCATAGCACAGCAGATAGCCGCAGTCAGTAAAACCAAAATCGAAAAACTGCTGCTGTGAAGATTTTGACTGCGCTCTTGCTGTACAAATGACACAGCACTCCAATAACAATCATAAACTAGTAAGGAAAGGACAAAAGTCGGGCCGGCCAGCCGACAAAGTGATGCCTACACATATTACCGATATATGCCATCTTCATATAATGTCTTGTATTAGTAGAAAAAGTGGGATGTGGCAAGTTTGAAAAAAATCGAAAGCTCATTTCGCGTTTTATGAGCTTCAAAATTTTGACCCCTTTGGGGGGAGGTATAAGAAGGAATAGACTGACATCACAACTGACTTTGTGTTGATAGAAATACTAGGATGTGTGAAATTTGAAAAGAATCGGGTGTTTATTTCGCATTTTATGAGAGATATAATAATTCAAAAAAAATCACCCATTGTGGGGGAGATGCCGGAAGGAGTGATCCGATATATTTTCTCTTCATGCTAGATCTTGTGTTGGTAAAAATATTAAGATGAGCAATACTTGAAGACAATTGGACGCTTATTTCACATTTTATAGGAGCTATAATTATTCAAAATTTTAAACCTTTGTGGGTGAGGTATCAGAAGGGGTAAGCGGATGTATCCCATCTCCGTACGGGATCTTGTTTTGGTACAAATAATAGGATGTGCCAAATTTGAAAATAATCGGATGCTCATTGCACGTTTTATGAGCTTCATAGTCATATAAAATCCTGATCCTTTTGTACTAGGATACTGTACTAGGAGACTGAAAAGAATTCACTCTGACGCGGTCTTAGAAGTCATGGAAGGGTATGAGTGAATACTGTACTAGAAGACCACCCCCCCTTCCATCGCAGCTGAAGAGCGAGAGCTGCCCCGACAAACCCGAGTAGTTTTGGAACAGTTACGATCCGGATGGTGCAGGCGCCTCAATTCCTATTGGGCCCGGATTGACAGCGATGTGCAGAATATCTGCCCAGCTTACTCAACTAACTCCAGTATCGTTGTGGACCCAGCCCGTACAGGATGCGACCTTTTTAAGACTGGAGGAGTCAAAACAAACACAGCAGTATGAGCTGCTACAACAACAACAAACAGACCGATACCTCTAAATTAACTCCAAATGTCCTGAAAAGGATTTGGTCCTAAGGGACCAAGGTTCTAAAGCCGTTATTTCGATGAGGCACGTTTTGGCCGTATCAAATGATATAAATCCTCTTTAGCCTTACGGCTGTTGGTATAATAAATAAAGATTCATGTATATAGCAACAATGTTTTTTGTTGAGGCGACTTTTGCCTTTTTTGAACGTAATTCTGTTCAAAATTTATTTACAAAAAAAAAAAATCTAATTAAATGTTAATAATTGTTGATATTGTATTCCGTTTCAATTTCTTGGCATTCGTTTCATATTTTATTTCCATTGTTAGATGTAATGTCGCTGTTATGCTGCTGACCGACATAGTGGTAGATGGTATACCAGGCATCGATTGGACTCTACATTTACCTTTGATGTTGCACATATTGTTTTTGGGCCTGGACCATAATCGCGTAATTGTGCGTGAACATTGCAAGCAGTTATGTATGAATTTACTGGTAAGTGGAAAGCGATTAGAATTTCATTGAATTTTTTTTTAATTTATTGCCTCTTCCCATTTCAGATTGTATTGGCTGAACACAATGATCATTTGACAGTAGCTCGTATTTTATTAAATAGCGAGACCACAAAACTTGATTTGGGGTTGACTGTACCCTCGCTGCCAGTGATTGATAATTATTTCACAGGTTTGTTTTCCTTTTTTGTTTTCTCCAATCATTTTCATTGTTTATTTTAATGAAAACTCGCAGCTCGCCGCGCCTCCAATCCTTGTTTTTCATAAACTAACCAAAATAAATTAATTAAAATAACCAATCAAAAATGTTCTTCAATTTTCAGAATCTCACCAAGAATTCGATAGTTATTTGTACAACAATTGTTATGTAATCGCAACATCATCGCAGCAACACCAACAACAACAGCAGATACTTCCTTTGGGTGCTTCTAGTTCGACGGCATGCAGCTTGTATGCCGCACAACAGTATCAAGTTTCTAACTATGTTAATCAACAACAACAATTGATGGCGGCATCTGGTGGTATTCAACAGCAGCAACAACAACAATCGCAAGATAACCACATGAATTTACAACAGCCACCTCCCATTAACCAATCATCACCGCCCATGGCATCTTCAACACAGCAACAGACTATACAAATACCAGGCCAGTCTGTACAACAACAATCATCACAACAAACTGTGGTGCAAATCAATCCGAATACCACCGAAAATTCTGAAGTTCCTTTAATAATAACAGCCGATGAAAATGCCCCACCCCAGCCAGGCCCAACAATGCCCATAATGCATGTTATCAAAAGTTTGCTGAAATTCTTGGCCCAAGAATCATCCCAGCCTCTGTGGAATTATGAGGATATAACAGCCAAGGGTAAGTTGCGGTTTCATAGGAAAATACATTTTATTCTTTTTTTTTTAACTTCCAGTTTGGTCCATTAAATCTGCCGAGCAATTGAGTTGCTTCCTACGCCATATCGTCAAAGTGTTTTCCGATAGCTACCTCCAAGCTCGCATTGCTGAACGTTGGGCGCAGACAGCCCTGCAACTTGGTCTCTCGTGCTCTTCTCGTCACTATGCCGGTCGTTGCCTTCAAATATTCCGAGCCCTTAATGTGCCCATCAACTCTCGCATGTTGTCCGACATTTTATCCCGTCTTGTGGAAACTGTTGCCGAGCAAGGCGAAGATATGCAAGGCTATGTGACTGAACTTTTACTTACTCTGGAAGCAGCTGTCGATAGTTTGGATTCTGATTTTAGACCCTTGGATGTGATGAAGGATATTTTTAAAAGCACCCCCAATCTGAATAACAAAGATGGTGGTCCAAATTCCATACTGTCGGGCGGTAAAAAATCTCCTTCCGGCATGACACCACAATCACCGAATTTCTCACTGCAAAGTCATGCTCGCAGTACCAGCTACTCGGTGTCGTATTGTGCTCGCAAATCCACCAACTCCCCATGTGACAAGCAGGTGGAGCTCCGCAACAGAGCCACTGGTATTGATATGGAACGTAATATGGCAAAGTTTGGCATAGTTAGTGGTTCGGCCTTATCACGTTCACGCAGTGCTCAAAGTTTGAAAATGTTGGGTGATACTGCAACGCAGGATGATAAAATGACAATATTGGCCCAATTGTTTTGGTTGTCAGTATCGCTATTGGAAAGTGATTATGAACATGAATTTTTACTGGCTTTAAGACTATTGACCAGAGTACTGCATCGTTTGCCATTGGATCGTCCAGATGCCAGAGATAAAGTTGAGAAATTACAACAGCAATTAAAATGGACTGGATATCCCGGTGTACATGCTTTACTATTAAAGGTGGGTATACGTATATTTGAAATTAAAGATTTCCCTTAGGGTCCACCAGAATTTATTAAAGCACTACATCTGGTGTCAGTAAAACCATTTTCATACCCTCAGCCATTTTTATGCCTCATCGAAATAACAAGCTTAGACCCAAGGACTCTTTGGACCAAATCCGTTTCAGGACATTTCAAATTGATTTAGTGGTGTCCGTCCGTCCGTCCGTCCGTCTATCTGGCTGGTGCGCACGATAACTCTCGAAGGGAGTATCCGATTTGGTCCAAACTTGGTATTTCGTAATATTATTGTCGAACTTAGATCGAGTTCGGAGATGGGCAATATCGGTCCACTCCTTCTGGTACCTCCACCACAACAGGTCGAAATATTCAAAAAAAAAAAATAAATTTTACTTCACAGAAAGAGAAAAGATAATCCGATTTTTCTCCAACTTCTAATACTTGCAATAGTGCTAGGTCAGGTGCGAAAATGGACAATCGGTCCACTCCATCAAGTACATCCCCCACAAATTATCAAATTTCCCAATAATTATAACTCTTATAAAATTTGATGTAAGATTCTGATTATCTTCAAATTACCCACATCCCAATATTTACATGAAACCAAGGTCTGGTGTTAAGATGGAATATGTCGGTCCGCTCCTTCTGGTACCTCCTCCACAAAGGGTCAAAATGTTAAATATCCATAAAGCTCATAAATCTCAAAAACTTGGGGGAAAGTCAGCGGTTCTTTACAACTTGATATATCTAAATATTTCTCTGAACCAGAAACCTGAGATGAATATGGAATTTAAGATTTCGCATAAAATTGGATATAAATTTCGCATAAAATTGGATATAAAGTATGAAAATGGAATACTTCGGTCGACCATATCTGATACCTCAAGCACATTTTTTCATTTTCTAAAAATTATCACACATCTCATATAAAGTGAAGGAAGTCCGAACCTGTCACGTCGAAATATTTATGTCATATTTATTTAGGTTGGATACGAAATGGAAATATTGTCCCATTCCTTCGGAATCTTATCCATAGAGGGTCAACAATTTCAATAATCATAACAGAAGTCAAAATATATTTCAATAATCGAACATTGGCTGAGGGTATGCATCTGTCATCAAAACCGACTGATATTTTTGAACTTGTTCCTATATATGTGAATATTAACTGTTTATGTTCAAAGCATTATTTGCTAAAAAATAATCCGACGACTTACAATAATAGTAAGTAACTTTTATCGATTGAAAAGTTTTTAAGCTTTCTTTTGTTATTGTAACAAAAGCAAAAATAACACATGAAGCTTTTGAAAAATAAACAATGAGTAAAGTTGTTAAAAGGTTACAGAATAGGGCCCTTGATAAAGTAAATTAATGTATTTGTGTTTGCAATAAAACCCATTATATCACTGATTATAAAAGTTACATTTTTTTAAATTTTCTTTGATTTCTCTTAAAATTTTTACAGGGTTGCACACACACGGCCACTTATGAACCCACCATCACACTATTATCACAATTTGCCCCCTTGCTCAATTTACCAGTTTGTGATCCCACACAAAGCTGTGCATTCCCCATGAATGTCATAGCCCTTTTGCCCTATATGCTATTGCACTATGAGGATGCAAACGAAATTTGTATACGCAGCGCTGAAAATATTGCTCAAGTATCCTCCGAATTGGGTGCAAAATTGGAAAATCTAGGAACTGTAATGACCCTCTATAGCCGCAAAACTTTTTGTAAAGAATCATTCCAATGGACTAAATGTGTGGTTAAATATCTTCATGATACCTATGCACATATGGGTCTACATATGTTGGCCTTTTTGATAGAGGTACTGGAAAAGGGACCACAACAAATACAAGTTCCAGTGTTGAATGTCATTCACTGTATGCTACACTATGTGGATTTGTCAGCGCCACAAGCACAAACCATCAATGCTGATCTTTTGCGAGCAATTGGAAAATATTTGGAGGTAAGTATGCTCCTGAATCCTGCTATGCATTGTTTATTTCTTTGTAAAATCGGATCAATTTTAAATATTTCATTAATTGAGGTTTGTTTTGTTATACGTCTATCTAAAACTTAAACTCATGTACGATTTAAGGGGGATTTAAAACAAAATGTATTATATCATACAAAAAAGCGTCATAAGTTTATATATACGAGTATTATATAATATAGTGACATTGATTGACAAAAAGTCCCCAAGTTTTTCAAATGTCATTTGAAAAAAGAATTCTTTTGTTTTAAAATTTTATGATTTTTTTATGACAAACTTCATTTTGTTTTCACAAAATCTACTTCGTTTGTGATATATGTTGAAAGAAATTCTTGGTAGAGTTCGTTGAATTGACATGTCCATTCATTCAAAATAAATGCCGTAGAACTCAACATGAATATACAAACATACATTCCTGTCCCCATAGCAATTCTACTTTCTGGTACAAAACCATATACAAACACAGTTTTTACGTGTATTTATATAGTTCTGAATTAAAAAGAAAACTATTTAAAATATTTGCACTAAAATTTCATATCTAAAAAGCTCCCCGTGCGACCATTCTGAACTTTGAGATGAAAAAATATTTGAATCGCAACTAAAATTAAGGTAGTTCGTTTTTGCAGAAGAATGCGCAATAAGAATTTTTGCATGAAAATCTTGTTCTAGGCAAACATTTTTGTAAATCCTCACGATATTTTCAGCTAGTTTTGCGAAAATACACACTTATATGGGGTTTAATGAAAATCAAAACCATATCAAAATTTGAATGTTTATTATTGTCGTTTTTAATTTAAATAATAGAACCAAGAAAGAACAGAATAATCGAAGGAATGTGGGAAATAATTTGGGTTTGAAATTTATAAAAAAAAACGAAGGGCTTTTAATACCCTCCACATTACATAGTATGGATGGTATATTAAGTTTCTCATTCCGTTAGTGACTCCTCGAATTCACATGTTAGATCCAATATGCTTGACCATCGTAAAATTCTAAGGGTGTGAGGGAGATGTGCCATTATATAGCCCCCATCTCCCTCACACCCTCCTCCCCACATAATCGGTGTTTTCATGATTTTTACCACATTCATTAATGGAATTGTCTGAAAATCAACAGAAAAATTCTTCATTCTGAGAATTTTTCCCTCTTGAAGAGATCTGTCGATATACGATATCGTACATCCCACATATAACGGTACACCCGATATTCGAGGTTTTGATGATTTTAGCCCCATTTTTCAATGGATTTGTCTAAAAATCTTCACAAGGAACTCCTTTTGAGTGCTGTATCCCCTTGAAAAGAATTGTCTATATAGGTCCACGATATCGTTTATCCCCCATATTACGGTATCTCCCGATATTCCATGGTAGAAGAATACAGGTAGTCGCATCGACGCAGCTTCTGGGACAATGAACTGCCAAATTAATTGTTAAATTAAAAATTTTGAATGAAAACATATGCAAATTTGTAAACGTTTTTTAAAAATACATATCAAAAAACCTCCAATTGGTGTCGTATAAAAAAAAAAAAAAAAAAAAACTAAAAAAATATTTATTTTTGAAAAATGTTGAGGATGCATCTACGTGTATTCTTCTACCATGCGATATTCGATATTTTGATGACTTTAGCCACATTTTTCAATGAAATTGTCTGGAAACCCACTCAGACATTCGGTATTATCATGATTTTAGCGATATTATTCACCGGAACTGTTTTAAATTTCGTATTTGAAGTTCGTAATGGGTACTTCAGGTCCACATCTTTGTATGGCCCACATATAACTGTATAAGCGACATTATTCTCCGGAATTGTTGCAAATGTCGTATTTGAAGTTCGGAATCGGCACTAAAGCATATAACAAAAAAATACTTATATACGTCTCCGTTTAGCCATAGTGCCCATAAAATGTTAACCGCCGATTTAGAGAAATTTTTGAAGATTTTAAGTAAATTAATTGAAAATGACTGACATTTCATATCTGGTTTCTGGGTCCCCAATTTTACTTCTTTGGAGTATTTTTTTGTTTTCAATAGTTTTTGCAGAAATTGTCAACATTAAACACGTTTTTTATGTAACTCACAGGAATTTTCCAGATTTTGGCCAACATTCTCAACACATTTTGATTTAATTAGCATTTTGGATTCTGAATACAATGTATACCTTCTTGCAAAAATTTTTTGAAAAATTGCAAAGTTTACTGGCTCCCGGACTTTTCATTACAAGAAAGAAACTTACTAATAATATTTCGTCTTATAAAACAATCCTATCACATTCTATTTTTATTTTTTAGACATCCAATTGGAAGGATTCTTTAAAAATTCTCAAATTAATTGTTACGCGCAGCTCATCGCTGCAAGTTGTGCCACCAAGTGAGGGCGGAAGCGTTGGGTTTTCGTTCTCTTTCTATGGTACATATCCGGATTCGGATATGTTCTGTAAAAAGGAACTAGCCGGACGCACTATGGAGTTTTCGTTCGATGTGTCACAAACGCCCTTAATCGGCCGTCGTATACTTCTAAAAACTGATGAAAATACCACAACAGGTGGCAACAATGGCCAAACTACTAATGCCACATCTGCAACGGCCAATTCAAGCTCGGTGACGGCAAGTGGTAGTACAGCCGGTCAAGCCCAAAACAACAAAGGCAATGCTTACAACATTAACAACAACAATGGCAATTCGCATATACATCAACAATCCTCTATGCACACCAACAGTAATGTGGGAACTCCCAATTCGCCCAGACGCAGTGCCAGCCTATCGCCGGCCGATACTGCACCATTAAGTGGTTGGAAACGTCCCTGGATGTGTCAAAGTCGGGTCAGAGAGTGTTTGGTGAATTTGCTCACAACTTGTGGTCAGCGCGTAGGCCTGCCAAAATCGCCATCGGTAAGTAATAATTTTACGTCTTATTCACTTATATCGTAGCATTTTTTATTTTATTTTTAAAAAAAAAATAACGAAAAGTGTAGTTATTATTTTTTTAATTTTTAATGTTTTCCTAATGAATATCTTTTTCCAATTTTAGAAATATCTTTAGTTGCATGATTTTGTTGTTAATCAATGACTAATTCATTTATAGAAACATTGATTAATTTTATTTGTTGAATTAAATTAATCATTTTTCGTTAATGACATTCCTTTGTATCTTGGCTTCCTTTTCTTATTCTACCCCTCTCCTTGAACTTCCATAACCAACAATCATGTGTACAAAAATCAATTTAGGATGATTTCATAAATTCCATATGCTCAAAGGTAAAGATTATTTGTAAGCTCCAAAAGAAGATTTAGTAAGCACAACATTTCTCTCATTGCCTTTATTTTCGTGTTTTGTATTATTTTTTGTACATATGCTTTATGCGGATTTTCATTTTTTTTGCCAAAAAGTTTATATCATCACATAACTGCTTTCAAATTGTATTTTATTGGCCCTCTCTATAAGTGAGATTCTCTAACTAGTAACGACAGCATTATCAACAACAGCAATTTTTCAAAGTCCTTATTTTTTGGTAATGAACGAAATAAGTCGCTAAGACCAATGTTACATGCTTTTATTTCACTTTTCAAAATTAATTATTTTTTGTCGGCAGCGGCAAAAACGTTAGAGAATCCCACTACTGTTCACAGTTTTCTGTTCAAATAAGTTTAGTGGACTGTAAATAAAAATGCTTAAGATGGTTAGCTATAGTAGTTTTGATGTAACACAGACGAATTTTGTTCATTTACGTCTAACCGTCTTCAAGGTTTGCAACTTTTTGCTTAGAAAGTATTATCCAATAAGAAACCAGTAAGGATAAGTCAAAAGTCGGGCGGTGCCGAATATGTTATACCCTACACCACTATGCATTCTTTTTCAAATTTTTTTCTTTGATTTCGTAATGTACATCCTTCTGACTGTGGAAATCACTCTAGATTCCAAACAAAATGATGTCAGATGTGTGTTAGGTCTGCAGGACTTTTGGTATTGAAAAAAGTAGACGTTTTGGTATAGCCCCCATATAAATGCACCGACAGATTTAAAGTATTTTGGATGTTTTAGTCACAATTTTAATCCGAATTTGCTATACATTGGCAATATGTGTACCCATTATTTAAGTAATATCTTTACATAGCACTATCAATGTAGGTCTAACTTTTTATATAGTCCCCGTATAACTGTACCTCCATATAATCGGTATTTTGATAATTTGTGTCACACCGGGAATGATTCAAATTTGGAATTTGACGTCCCTAATGGGTACTACACTCTTAAACCTCCCTATATTAGGTATTTTGATAATCTATTTACCGGAAATTGTTTCAAATTTGGTGTTTGAAGTTCCTAATAGATACTACAATCTATGACAGAAAATTGCCTAGGCAGGTCCAGATCTTCGTATATCACCCATATAACGGTACCTCCCAAATTCGGTATTTTGATGATTTTAGTGACATTATTCACTGAAATTGTTTTAAGCTTCGTATTTGAATATCGTAATGGCCTAGAACAAAAAATTGTCAATGCAGGTCCAAGTCTTCATATAGCCCACATATAACGATACCTCCCGATATTCGGTATTTTGATGATATTAGTGACTTTATTCAAGGAATTGTTTAACATTTCGTATTTGAAGTTCGGAATCGGTACTACAGCCTATGACAAAAAATTACTTATGCAGATCCACGTCGTATTTCGTATTTTTGAAAATTTTCAAGTTCCTTCAAAATGGTGGAGGGTAATAAAAGTTCGGCCCGGCCGAAGTTAGCTGTTTTTTTCTTGTTATATTTACGGGCTGTAGTTGATGGATTTATCCAAGTTTTTATTTTTTTTTTTTTAAATAATTTAGAAATTTAAGGCATCGAAGTTTTTCCTTCCTTTCTAAAGAAATTTATTTTGTGTTTCTGTAACTCTTTTTCTCGAATAGTGACTAGAAGCGACAACTCGAAAGAAAACTAAAAAAAAATGTTCAAGCAAATGTGTTTATATAAGTAAAATGTTGTCCAATTCGAATGTCAAATTCATTTTGCCATAATTTTCACCCCTTCTTTCAAGAATTCATAAAACAAAATAATGCAATGTTCTGCTCATTTATGTTCAGAAATTATTTTTTTTTTTTGTTAATATCTGTATATTTTGGCATTTGTTTTCATTTATATACTATAAATTTAGTAAAAAATAGTATGGTATATGTAAGGTCAGCCGAAAGAAAGATATGGGTTTTCAGCTTTTCGTCTTCATTTTCGACTGACTTACATAAAACTAGGCAGTAATTTCAATCGTTAACGTAGCGCAGACTTTTTTTTAGCTCTCAGGTATTAATCAACTTTGTTCGGCTCCACTTGAAATTTTCAACAAATATTTCAAGACAAGGCATATTCTTAGTACGTAGCAAAATGTTATGGAAATTTTTAATTTTCCAAAATTTTAATTTTTTTCTAGTGGCAAGTAGAGTAAGAGGTCATTTTAAAGAAGTAATAAACACTGTTTTACATTCATATAAGACCCTGGTAAAAAAAAAACGACTTTTTATGCAAAAAGATGTAGATCGAAAGAATCGAACGATCAACTTATTCTCTGGAATACTTTTGAAATATTAACATCTGCTTTTATCGATTGTTATCCGTACTGCTACTCCCTCATTTTTTTAGTTTTCGTTATTATATCTATCTTCTACTCAATTCTCTTGTATATATATTTGTGCATGTTTTGTTTTTATTTTCACCTGTTCTCTTTGTGTCTTTCCAAATTAAAAAAAAATTGTCTTTTGCATGCTGGATATTTACCAGACTTTAAGTCCTACGCTTCTAACTGGATCTGTAATCACCAGACAAAGCGTAAGCGTTTTAAACTTCCGTTTTCTTAATAATACGAAACCGCATATAAATAGCCATAATTTGATAAATTAAAAAAATATATATATGTTATTTTGCGATTTACAATGTAAACATGTTTTAAAGCTTTTTATGTTTCATTTAAAGTTCTGGCAACTAAAAATTATTAAAATTGTGTTTTTGTTTTCTCCACACTTTCACTAATTCTAGGTTATATTCAGCCAATCTTCGGATCTCATGGAACGACAGTCTTCGGCTGCCTCATCGACAGAGGAAACTTCTGGGCCACAAGGTGATTTAAGCAGTGGCTCACGTCGTGATGATGGACAACCTGATTTTACCGTCTTCAAAGATTTTGATTTCTTGGAATATGAAGATAGTATTACTGGCGAGTCCACAGACAACTTTAACTGGGGCGTTCGACGTCATCAATTGTTTGAAGGAGACGAAGACATGCTCGCCTGTGGTGCTGGTGGCATGAGTGGTGGTGGTACCGGTTCAATTAAGGGTGGCCACTCTTCAGCATTGGAAGACAGTTTCAGCGATAAAACACCTATACTGAGTAAACGTAGACGACAAACCGCTGATGATTCTTCAGACGAAGAAGCTGAATCGGAGTCCCCCATTGACGAAGATCACCGTCAATCGTTTAAATCCGGTTTCAACGTGGGGCCACCCACCTCGTTAAGTTTAAGAGAAAGAAGACGCCGCAACTCAGTATCACGTAGTGATACCAGCGGTTCAAGCGCAGGAGATTTGGGTGACATAACACCATGCAATGCCTCGCCTCATTTGCCGGGTATTATACGTTTTGGTGGAGCTGTACGTGATGAGGCAGAAGAGAATTGGCGCAAACAATTACAAGCCATGCTCATCAATCAACCATCGGCTCACACTTCCGAATTACTTATGCAATTGTATCGTCTCATCAAGGAGTTGACATTCAAAACCATCAGCATTTCAAAGGAAGCGAAGAAATTCTTCACCGGCATAGGTTCTCAGTTGGGTAATCGAATTTCCCTGTTCACCGATTTACTGAGTTCAAGAGCTGACCCGCCAAGGGTTTGGTGTAGCGAGCATCAGACAACCACACCACGACTGTTTGAGACATTGCGTTTTAATGTTTTAGAAGTTCAGGAACATTTGGAGACATTTTTCGATCGTAAAGATCAAGTGCTGGAGGTAAGTGTTTTTGAAAGTTAGAAATAAGAAAAGTAAAAGATTTTACTACGATAATCGATTTTTCCTTTATGATATCGAAAAAAATAGTAGATTCTGGAACGGAACACATTAACCTATTGTATTTATCTTTAGGGCTTTTATTCAAGACTTCTGTATTTGAGTTTCGATGTGTTGTGTATAATTAGAAAATAGGTGTATTTTCATGAATATGGGTTTTGTAGTTAACTATTACATCCGAAATTAAATTTTTTTGAAGACTACAAATTCTCATGAATATTGAATTTCCACGATTTTTATACCCTCAGCCATATGGCTAGAGAGGGTATATATCATTTGATACGACCAAAACGTTCCTCATCGAATTAACCATTTTAGATACTAGATCTTTTTGAATCAAATCCGTTTCGGTGTGATGTAAGAGTCCGATTGTCTTCAAATATCACACATCTAGGTTGAATTCGGTCGTATGTGCCAACACGAACAGGGTGAGATGAAAAAACTGCAACCAACTTCAGACTGCTGTCATTTCTAAGCCACTCGTCCGACAGCTGTTAAAATTATTCCAGTGACAGCTCATTATATTGTTTACAAGCGTACAAAAGCATTTTGGAGAGAATTTTCCAGAAAAAAGTTATTCATGATGGAATTCAAGCGTTATAATGTGATTTCTTTATATTTGGCTGGAAAACCACAAGTGGCTATCGTTAGAGCACTCCAGCATTTAAATGTGAATAAATCTTTTGTGTCTCGTACTATCGCTCGTTACCGTGATACTGATAGCGTAGCCCGACGTCAAGGAAGTGGACGGAAGAAAACAAGAACATCAGCAGAAATGGTTCGAAAAGTAAAGAAGCGAATTGATCGAAACCCGCGTCACAGTGGCCGAAAAATGGCTCATCAGCTGAACTAAATGAGCTCGGGGTAAAGCCATTGGAATTCCAAAAAGTCCAAGAAGTTACATCCCAAAGAGGTCAGCTTAAAATGTGCACCTTCGGTTGGTCACCAGAACTCAAGCGCCGGCCATGGTGATGGTGTGGGCCGCCATAACAGCCGATGGTCGCTCTCCGCTTATATTAATCGACTGTGGCATCAGAATAAATGCCGAATATTATCGCGAAAATATTCTGGAGGGTGTATTAAAGCCTTGGGCACGCAAACATTTTGGCCGCAGACTTTAGACATTCCAACAGGAGTCAGCACCATCGCACTCAGCACGCGCCACACAAGAATGGATACAAAACGAGGTTCCTCGCTTCATTTCCAGCGCACAATGGCCACCAAAATCCCCGGATACCAAGCGTTTCGCCGGGAATGGGCCAAAATACCGCAGAGCAACATTCTGGCAGCGTGTGACGGATTCATTGTCCGTTATTCGTGCCAAAGGTGACCAATTCGAACAAATCTAAACTTATTCTAAAATTTCATGCTATCTCCGACGTTTTTGCTTTCATTCAATAAAATTAAAAAAAAATGTAAAAATTATGGCGTTTGACTTTGTTGCAGTTTTTTTATCTCACCCTATAATTCATTATGATGTTTAAAAAAAAACTCTGCATCAATAACGATACTCTCTTTCTCTCAAAAATTCCACATTCTAGCTTAGGGTTACTAGTTGTGTACCCCGCAATATATTTTGGGAAAATTTATTTCAACATCAACTTCCTTACCAATTATTTTCTCTCAATATTTTCAGTGTCTTGATTCGGTAAAATCTTCCTGTAAGTTATCTCTATTCAGTGAAAATGATGTTGCTGCCTCGGGTCTTGATCTAGCCTCAACTTCAAATATACCATACATGCCGTTTGATCCAGCATCCACAGAAGTGGTTTTAGACTTGGGAAGAGCTTTGTACAAATTAATGTTTCAACTATTGCTATTAATCGAATCGAATCATAAAATTAGCTCGAATGTTGTTAATCATTTTAGACAAAATGAAAATGTAAGTAAGCAATCAACAAACATGTGTGCTCATATGTACATCATTATTATTTTTTTTTTTAATTTCCAGGTTCAAGATATATCCGATTTGTATACTCTTGTTAGAGATGCACTGGTTCGTAGTATAAGCGAAGTAGATCTGGAAACTTTGGACACATCCACCTCAACGGAAGGTGAACATACACCCACACCCTCGCCTGGCATTCCAATGTCACAGGAAGAATTCGAAACAACGCTCCAAGAGTTAATAGAGGCTCAAAAATGGTCAGCCGCCCTTGCCCACGTTCGACAATACAAACGAGTTTCTCAGATGACCGGATCAAATTTGAATTTGACCATATTTAGCTACACTAATTTGGACAATCGTCTGAAATACGATGAGATGTCAATTATACTAAATGCCTATGCACAACGTATTATGAAGGATAGGCAAGGTAAATATATTTTCCTTTTTATTTATTTTAATAAACTAAAAAATTTAATTTAATTTTCTTCGTCGTTTTAGAAGCATTTATTGTCTCCAAATCAGAATCGGAACTTTTCGAGGTCTATGCCATATTATCGGAGAATTTGTATCATGTCTCCAGTGCTCTGACCACCATGGAAATCAATATGAAAAGCTATAGTCAAACTCATGCTTCAAGTTCATCTCAGGTTTTTCGTGGCGGCGAATCCAGCGATAGAGTTACAAATCTTTAAAGTTAACAATGTGGTTTTTATAAAAAGAATCAGATTTTTACGATGACACTACAACCAATCATACACGAAATATTTAAAAAAAAAAATCAAGTGAAATTTGTTAAATACATGAACAAAATTATGAGTTTAGTTTTAATTAAAAAAAAAAATCTATTTTAAGTAACGTTGATTGAAATTTCATCAATACATACATTGGGTTTATTGAAAAAAGAAATCAATAAAAAATCATTTTATTACAATAGAATCGAAATTGATTTTTGGTTATATAGCAGTTGTGAAAAAAAAAAAAAAAACATTTTAATAATATATACAAGAATAACCATATAACCAATTCATACAGAACATTTATTCACACACACATATGTTTTTCCAGAACAAACAAAAAATTGTATCAGTGTATTTATTTCAAGACAAATACGATATCATGTAAAACGCTTAATATTAACGAATAAAATTCAAACCAAATTTAGTCGGCAGTTTACTTTTACTACACATGGGGGTTCTGAAATGAAGGGTGTTTTTCTAAGAGCTTGCTGATTTGAAATTAAAAAAAAACACATACCAAATTATGAAATGGCTAAAAAATTGTATTTGGTAGATAAGATCTTGTCATTTAACATTTAAATATAATTTTACACAAAGGTCATTCTGGAGGTCCAATTTTCGTCCACCTTTTCAAGCATTTGAGGGCGTATTTCAGTAATGACACGTTGAATTTTACTTTCCACAGCGACAATCGTTGCAGGTTTATCCAAGTATAGAAATGACTTTTAAGTACCCCCACAACAAAATAAATGCGTGGCGTTAAATCAGACGAACAGGGGGCCAATTCACCGGTACATTTCTCAAAATATTGTTGTTGTTGAAATGTTATTTCAATAAGTCCTTTGTTTCGCCCGCAGTATGGCAAGTGGCACCATCCGGTTGCAACCACACTTCTTTTACAGCCATATCTTGAAGTTCTGACAACAACAATTTAACAACATTTTTGATAAAGTCGATAGACAAAGTCCAACTTTTGCGCACGACGACGAATCGATAAATTAGCGTTCTCTTTCACACTGGCCTCAACGACAGCAACATTTTTTTCGGAGTCTTGGCATCCAAAAGAGTGAATGTAGACCGAAATTTGGTAATTATGTTCTTTATGGTGATCTCAGACGACAATTATGTGGACCATAAAATTCACGAAGTGCTCCATAAACATTTTAATTATAACCTCAGCCATATGGGGGTACATATCATTTGTTACAGCCAAAACGTGCTTCATCGAAATAACTGTTTTAGACCCAGGTCTCTTTGGACCAAATGCGTTTCAAGACATTTGGAGTCGATCTAGCGATGTCCGTTCGTCCGTCCGTCTCTCGGTCTGGCTGGTGCGCACGATAACTCTCGATGAAAGTTTCCGATTTGGTCCAAACTTGGTACATCGTAATATTATTGTCAAACTTAGATCAAGTTCGAAGATGAGCAAAATCGGTCCACTCCTTCTAGACCGTCTCCCCCACAAACTGCACAGAAAGAGAGAGAATAATCCGATTTTGCTCCAACTTTGCAAATCCTAATATTTGCATCAGTGCTGCTCAGGTGCGAAAATGGACCACCCCGTCAAGTACCTTCCCCACAAAGGGTCAACATTTGGAATAAGTTTAACTCTTATAAAATGTGTTGCAAGAGTCTAGTTGTCTTCAAATTACACACATCGCAATATTTTTATTAACCCAAGGTCTGGTGTGAAGACGGAATATATCGGACCCCTCCTTCTGGTACCTCCCCCACAAAGGGCAAAAATTTTGAATAAACATGAAGCGAAATTAACATCCGATTCTTTTCAAATGTCATACATCCCAATACTTTTACTTAAGCAAGATCTGGTGTGAAGATGGTAGATATCGGACCACTCCTTCTGGTACCTCCCTCACAAAGATCAAAATTTTTGAATATCCATAAAGATCTTAAAACGCGAAATTAACATTAGATTCCATTCAGACTTGGCACATTTCAATATTTCTATCAACACAAGATCTGTTACAAAGGTGGCAGACCATTCCTTTTGGTACCTCCACCACAAAGGGTCAGGATTTTAAATAACCAAATTTTTCACACATCCCATTATTTCTACTAACACAAGATCTGCTCTGAAGATGTAATATATCTGTTCACTCCTTCTGGTACCTCCCCCAAGAATGGTTAACATTTTGAATAATTGTAAAGTTTATAAAATTTTAAATAAGAGTCCGATTATCTTCAAATTTCTCACATTTCAATACTTCCACTAACACAAGGTCTGGTATGAAGAACGGATTGAACAGACAACTCCTTCAAGTACCTCCCCCCACAAAGGGTCAAAATTTGGAATAACCATTAAATACATTTTTACTTGTTGAAAATAAATTTTTTGGAACCGATTTTCTGGAGTTAGCCTTTTTACAATGATTTTCCTTGAATCTTGAATGTGATAACTAAAATTTCAAATTGTAATACTTTTAAATTTGTAATACTTTCATTTGAAATAACTTATTGAAAATATTTACAGCTTTGTTCACTAGTACCGGTTCATCGAAATGCGTTGACTTAGACTTTGGTATCGCGTAATTATCTTTGGTAGGTTGGTGTATCCTAGCCTGTTCCCAGGCTTTAGGCATCTACGCGACTTTTATGCAAGAAAAGTCGGAAAAGTATTATCTGCTTCCGCTGCTTTTAATAGGGTTTGGCCAATATAACTTCCTTAGTAGGAAATTGAGTATCCGTTAGAAATCTTCAAATAGTATTGTGGTACTGATAGAAACTTCTAGAGTTAACGTGGATGATTTAGGCTATGCATGATTTGCGTTTGGCCCTAGTTAATTTATTGCATTTTTATACCCTCCACCTTGGAAAGGAGGGTATATTAACTTTGTCATTCCGTTTGTAGCATACCTAAATATTCGTCCTAGACCCCATAATGTATATATATTCATAATTAGCATAAAATTCTAAGACGATTTAACGATGTCCGTCTGTCTATCCGTCTGTATGTCTGTCTGTCTGTTGAAATCACGATACAGCCCACATTATTTGACGTAGAGCGTCAAAATTTAGAAGAAAAATTTTTATTATGTCTAGGATGGTTGGTATTGAAAATTTATCGGTTCACGTTTTAGTATAGTCCCCATATAACGGTATATCCCGATATTCGGTATTTTGATGATTTTTGCCACATTTTCCCACGAATATGTCTAAAAATTGGTATTTGTGGGTCATAATTGGTTCTAGTGTTTCCATTACCCTAAGGTGGAGGGGATTAAAAGTTCGGTATTTTGATGATTTTTACCACACTTTTTCACGGATTTGTCTGCAAATTGGTATTTGTGGTTCATAATGGGTTCTAGCTCCGGTGGCGAAACTTTGCGTGTATGGGTCCACGTTTTGGTATTGCACCCATATAACGGTACTTCCCGATATTCGGTATTTTGATGAATTTTACCACATTTTTTTCACGGATTTGTCTGAAAATTGGTATTTGTAGGTCATAGTGGGTCCTAGTTCGTGCGCCGAAACATTGTATGTATAGGTCCACGCTTTGGTATAGCCTCCATATAACGGTATCTTCCAATATTCGGTAATTTGATGGTTTTTGTCACATTTTATCGCGGATTTGTCTAAAAATTGGAATTTGTTGGCCATAATGGGTTCTAGCTCCGTTGGCGAAATATAGGTCCGCGCTTTTGTATAGCCTTATATAGCGGTACCTCCCGATATTCGATATTTTCATGATTTTTGCCACATTTTCCCACGAATATGTCTAAAAATTGGTATTTGTGGTCATAATTGGTTCTAGTGTTTCCATTACCCTAAGGTGGAGGGTATTAAAAGTTCGGCCCGGCCGAACTTAATTTTTTTTTACTTGTGTTTAATTTGTAGTTGTAATTATCCCAGAATAGTCCTAATACTTTTACGTCGAGCACTATTGTAAATTCTCTGCCTGTTTTACAAATTCCTCCAGTCCACGAGGGTTTTTCTTAGGCCGATTTCCCTTACTCGAAGCGTACAATTTTTTCTCAAATGGCTTTACTGCTATCTCCGTCATTTTATCAACTTTCTATCTATACCCTCGGGCTTGTGTATTCATACCTGAATCGAGCTTCTAGGGAATAATACAATATTAAAGTTTCTAATTAAACCATTGGTACGCTTATGAACCAAACTTTGAATAAAATTCATAACATCCAATATTCTATAATTATTAACTTTTTAATAATACTTAACTTTTTCACTAACCTATCAAAGAGAATACGACTATAAATTTTTAAACTGCAGTAAAATATTTTCTAAACATTTAAATGTTTCAGAGTTTTTCTTGCTTCTTGCATACAAAGTAAATTTACATATTAAAGTTCAAGCTTGTTAGCATCTACCTGTTAATTTGTTGTATGAAATCCCTGTGAGAACAAGAAACGTCCTTGAGGGAGTCAAAAGACTTTTAGTTCTATTTAAACATGTCAACAAGTTGAAATTTAATAATTAACAATGAATGTCTGTGCTTTGTGATGTTGTATGTTAGCTGCGCATTCAAACAATGGGCTGAAAAGTCCCGTTCAGAAATGACAATTGTTCTTACATCGAAATTATGATAGGGGTTTAATATAAAAAATGTGACAAACAAAAATGGTATTGAGTTAGATCGGGTCGATCCGATCTTCCGATCGGAAGATCCGACGTCAAAAATTCCATATAGGGAATATCGGTTGTATGGGCAAACGTCAAATCGACCCCCTAAAGCACCTCAGAACTCAAGATTCTTTATGAAGAAAATACCAAACTGTGTCATAACTTTTGCTATACACCCAGCAAATTTCCCTATGAAAAGTTATGAAAACAGTGGCACATTTATGCCAAATAAGTGTAAAATAAAAAAAAGTGTTAAAATGTGGACAACCCTTCAAAATAGTTCCTACATATATTAATCTCCCTACATGGGATGATTATTTAAAACCCTACTATATTCTGTTGGAGACTTCCAAAAAGTTGTTTCATTTTTGTGTTAAGCCCTTGTATTATCGGCCGAGTTGCCGGCATTTGCCATCTTATTATACCCTCCACATTGAAAAGGAGGGTATATTATCTTTGTCATTTCATTTGTAACATTCCTAAATATTCGTCGTAGATCCCATAAAGTACATATATTCGTAATCAGTATAAAATTCTAAGTCGATTTAACGATGTCCGTCACTATACAGACAACATTATTTAACGTAGAGCTCCAACATTTGGTACAACAACTTGTATTGTTTCTAGGATGGTTGGTATTGAAAATTAAAATCGGTCCACTTTCTCGTATAGCCCCCATATAACGGAACCTGCCAATATTCGGTATTTTGATGATATTTGCCACGTTTTTCCACGGATTTGTCTAGAATTGGTATTTGTGCGTAATAATGGGTTTTAGCTCCGGCGGAGGAACTTGTATGTATAGGTCCACGTTTACGT